CTCTTTGCTATATAATAAATACATTAACTTATGGTTAGAGCTCGACAACTGGCGCACTGTAGCTCAGTTAGTTGGAGCGCTGCATCGATCGGAATCGCAGAGCTGCAGGTTCGATTCCTGTCAGGGACTTTGCAGCTGCTCCCGGTAATTTATAGGTCTGAATAAATATATAATAAAATTTAGACTCGAGATTACCAGCTACAAAATCCATCAACAGGGATATTTTATACATTTTTATTCATTATAATCGAGTATTGTACCAAATATGGCCCCTAACTGAGTAAAATACATATACGTTATACAGATTATATAACTGAGCTGGAGGCGGGCCGAGCTGACTCTGTGACAGTTGCACTCTGCTTTGAAAGTCTCGGACATTGTGCTTACATTCGACACAACGCAGTTTTTTGAATATTGTCAACATTGAAATTTAATAAAATTTGCATTTAGAGATTTTTCAATTTGGTTTTAAATGAATCGATAGTGTCGTTAATATGAAGTCAATGGTCTTCATGTCACTAGGTAACGAGTTGAAAAGCATATGGTACCCCGCTGTTTTTTTACCTTGGAGATCCGTCCGACCTTTCATGGGGCTCTTATGACTATGGCGCCGTATTCTTATGCAAATCCGCTTATGTCGTTTACATTGTCATTGACATTGTATATTACGTTACATCATCTTCAGGGGTTTATGCTAAACTATTTTGCAATTTAAATTTTCAGTAAACATTCTGAAACGTGTACATGTGCCCTCTATAGGTACAAGTACTTCAAACAGGAGCTTTCGAATTGAGTTCCATCGGCTAATTTTGACCTCTCATATTACCGAGTATAAAATATCGAGTCATATATCAGTCATATTGACAATTTATTGTGCCTCAGTGCCTGTCTGATTGAGTATCTGTCTCATTTTAAAATGACTGCGGAAGTATTGATGCCGATATTTGGTCTATTCGTGCTCTTTATCGTATCAATAAGAGCAGAACAATGTTTACCAAGCTCATTGCACAAGAACACGTCGTCCCCAGCGACAAAAGACTACGCAGAATGCAACGCTTGGAGTAAGGACACCTGTTGTACGGCTGACTTTACCGAAAAACTAAACAAGACACGAACCAGAGAGCTATATGGTTTTCATTGGGGCCATTGTAAAAACATTTCCAAGGTAGGGCGCATGTTTACTGTTTAGCTCGATGTTATACAGGCGCTGACTTGCACCACGGCTTGCACACGCGTCAACATTACGGCCATGTATATTATATTCGAGCGAAAATCATCAGGGTGACCCTATCAGGGGGGTTACCCTAGCAAGCGGGTCAGATAATAGCAAGCCTTTACATGAGGTAGGATAACATTAATATTGCCCGATAGGGTAACCCTACCTATGCGTGGTCGCTAAGCCGTCTGTAGTAGAAAATTGGCGCCGAAACGAAAGTGATCAGCGGCAAGTTGTGTAATCCATTTCTTGGGCCTTTGCATGCCCCATTCGAACCCGTTTCGATGTTGTGATCTGTTACTTTCAGCGTTCTCGACGTCTCGTCCAAAGGCAAAGCCCCGTTCTTGTCCCTTTTAGGGACCGTTCATTATTTATACTCGGGGTTGGTACCGAAGAGATATGAATGAGTTTGAGTGTGACTGTGAGTGAGCTTTTGGAATTTAGGCAACTTGATTTCTGTCACCATAATCGTGTGTGTTTATAAAGTACAGTGACACATGGGTTGGGTAAACATTATTTTGATCATTGTTGAGGTTGGGTAAATAAAAAATTTACAGTGTTTTTCGCTTCTCTTCTGTACCAACCCCAGGGTATAAATAATGAACGGTCCCTTATTTTTCTGGTGTCGTTTAAAACATTCGCCAGGTTGAGATGTATAATCTTGCGACGCCATTCCCATCCTTGTTTGTCCAGCAGTCACAGTCGCTTGCTAGGTAACCCTACCTGACGCGTTTACGTGGCTTATGTCAACAAAAAGATAGCCCCGCTGCTAAGATTATCCTACTATCTGTTTGATAGTATCCCTCTACCACCAGGGCAATCCTATAGCGCATGTAAACGCAACCTATAAAACACATTTGACTAGATAACCCTCCTGATAGGGTCACGATACCTCCATGCAAACAGGTCCCGGCCTAATTCCAAGATCACTAGAAAAACACCACAAACATTTAGTCAACGACAAAATTCTTCGCGCGATATTGTGTCTGCGAAATATGGATGATTGCACACGAGTGATTCTATTGAATTTGCACACTTTCTTCGCTTTCGCAGCTTTGAGTAGAACTGACTTCTGCTTGCTGGCGACGCGAAATCTTTTCTCGCGAAGCCGAATTTATCTTTACTGCCCATGTACGCTTTCATTTCGTACGAAATGTTCGCATTTCGGTTGCAGTATTGTAACGAGTCGAGTCATTGACTCGGACTCGAGTCGCAATTTTCTGCGACTCGACTACGAAAAATAACTCGACTCGAGCCAACAGCCCCAAATGACTCGACTCAGACTCGACTTGTTGATTTCTGCCGTAAATGACTCGAGTCAATTCAGCTACTACTTCATTCTCGTACCCAGAGCCCTTCTTACGCGCGGTGCGACGAGGGGCTCTGGCCAAATCGATATCCGAACTGGCATCTGATTGGCTAGTTCTAATACCGGATATTGTTTTCTTACCATGTTTTCATGGTATCCGGTTTTGGATTTGGCCAGAGCCCCTCGTCGCGCTCGGTCGAACGCGCGTAAGAAGAGCTCTGGGTACGAGAATGCTACTACTTGTTCAAGATAAATCCATAGAAAATATTGTAGTTGAATAGGTTGGAAAACCTGAAACCATACCTGAAAGGGCTTGAAGAAATAAAAAGTAATTCTCGATGCAGATAGGCATGTTTCCACCTGTAGGGGAAATTTTTAAGGCATTTTTGTTCACCTTTTTGTTCTCCATACAATTCGTGTAGACATTGTCATTGACTCGACTCGAGCCATTTACGCGACTGAACTCGTGACTCGACCTTTGGGTGACTCGTTACAACACTTGCCTGTTGGCGTGTTGGGCTGTTTTAATCAACTTTTTATTATAGTTTAATTATTTTGACGGTATACAAAATAGTTACGAGGTACTGTAAGATCATCTCTTATTGATTCAATATTATTACATGAGGAAAATTTCATCATATTGTTCTTGGTATGAAAGACATTACCCTCTGTTTGAAACAAAATATCTATGCATTGAACGTTCTACCATCTTGGCAGGATATGTGTGTACATCGTTGGATAAAGGTGACGTCACAACCGTGCTAGAATTATTTTGTGTCTTGGGCAATTCTCGGGTCACTGTAATGCTATTAATTGCTATGTTTCTAATACTGCCTATTTTAAATTAAACCACCAGCTATGTTTTACGCCCGTATTCTAAAAGCTCACTCACACTCAATGAGTTCAATTTGAGCTTCTCTCGAGTGTCATTGCTGATTTTGAATAGTTGGAGGCGGGCTAGTGTCACACCTTACTTTGTGACTACTCAATGAGCTTTTAGAATACGGGCGTTAGCATTCGACTGATGTTATTTTCTAGTTTTAAAATGTTGTGGCGTCATTTGATAAGATCTAATTATAATTAAACATGATGGTGGATATCAGAATGTTTTCGTTCCTAATATACCAACACAGTCTCCGGGATAAATAGCATCAATTGTCAAACATGCACAAATTGATGATAATCATCTATTTCGGGGAAACTCTAATCCTAATCCTGACCTCTAGGCTCTAACCCTAATCTAATATTAACCTAACCCTAATCTAATAATAATTTGACAGACTGACACCACCATCTAAACTCGACGACCTTCATTTACAGGCCATCTACTTCTTGGGGGAAAATTCACCACCACCCCACCGGTCTGTCTCTCCTAGCACTTTATGACCGTCCCCTTATTCTTTCTCGTGCAGAAATGTGAACAATTTCTAATTGACGAGGAATGTTTCTATTCATGTGAACCTCGTCTAATTCGATGGCATCACACCAATGCTCCTGTGAATCCTTCAGTAAAAGGCGTCCCAATCTGCGGTAATTATTGCGACGACTGGTACGAAGCTTGCAAAGACGATGAAACTTGTGTGAAAGACTGGCAAATTGGTTTTGATTATACGAACACGACGTACACGTGCCCAAAGGACGCTACATGTAGTACTTTTAAGCAGGTGAGATTATGGTTGCAGTCGAGTCTGTTCTGCCCATGCGCATAACTAAAGGACTAAAATGGAACACCGTGGTCAAACGACCGCGCGTATTCACTGCTTGCGCAGGGTCCCCACGGTCCTTAAAAATCCTGCAAAGTCATTGAATTTGTTAAAAAAAAATCCAGGCCTGGAAAGTCCTTGGAAACTGATAAGGTCCTTGAAAGTCCTGGAATTTTTTTCGAGTAGGCTGGAAATAGTTGAAGAATTATTACCAGCCCAAGGATTATTGCCCAAATGTTTATTCTCTCCAATTTCAATTAAAATTATGTATAACAATTGTCCAAATGTTGTTTCGATGTCATTTTTTTTCTAATTGCATTCCTCTCCTTAAGTTTAAGGATAAAAGTTGGATGATTTTCAAAGATTTTTCCAGTTGCCAGGTCCTTGAATATACTGAAAAAGGTCCTAGCTTGAAAGTTCTGGAAAAGTCCTTGAATTTCATCTTCACTAAAAGGTGGGAACCCTGGCTTGGATTCAAAAGACTCGAAATAGTGTTGTCAGTATTGTCTTCACAAATCCCTTGCAAAACGTTTAAATAATTACGAATGCGTGCTTACACTCAGTATAACTTTGAAAAGTAATCCGTTTTTATCGATGTTTGAAGCGTTGTCTGATAGATTTAATTGTTCATTTATAACCTGGTTTCCATATGGTCGTAAAGATTGAGTCACGATCTCCCTCATCAGCCGAAATACCTAACAGAAATACATAGAGAATACTTACGATTTATATGTGGTTTACTGCAGGTATAAATTATTCAACTGGCCGTTGAGAAAGACGTGACTCTATTTCCACGACCATTACGACCATATGGAAACCAGGCTTTGGGAACCTATTATGCAGGACTTCCCTGCCACTTATGGGAAAATTTGTAAATAAATTTAAAAAAATATTTTCTCCACTTCAGATGTATGGCAGTGGCAAGGAGCTGTGCAACACAATGTGGGGACAATCGTTTCTCTATGTTGACCCAAAATGCCCATGTAGCAGAATGGATGGACCAATACCTGGCAACGTAAACGAGACATCTACATGTTCTGCAAGTTCAAGGATGACTTTGTTTTCCGCGTTTTCCTTACTTATTTTGATCGGCATAAACCTGTGTTAAACTATGCATGCACAGACCTCTCAAGCTTTTACTTTTGCCTGAAATGCTGAGAATTTACATGTTCTGATTGCTGTTAAGAAGTGTTGATTTTTAATAAATATAGTTGGAACCATTGTTTGTTAATCTAGAGTTTGAAATGTCCCCCGTAACAATTCGTGACTACCAACTCTCTCACCAACCAGTGGTGCCTAAATTACTTTGAATTTCTACTCGAGTAAAAGTAGAAGTAATTAAAGTGCCTATGACACGAAATTTCACCCCAAAGGTTTATATTGCATTATAAAGATCACTTAAAATTACTTAATAATTTCTTTCATAGAATTTTGGTAACTTCCTCCCTTTTCAAGATATTCAACTTTGTTTCATATGCAAATATCACCGGTGTGACATCACATCACATAATGAGTTTTCAGAAAAGTAGTTTTCTTGACGAATACGCATCTAAAAAACTTAAAAATTGCCCTTGTATATGTATTAATATAATAACTGGTAATTAACCCTCTGTATTTGTTTGCAAAAATATTTTATCAAGGTAAAATATTGCGTTTTCAAAATGTCATTATGCGATGTGATGTCACACCGGTGATATTTGCATATGAAACAAAATTGAATATCTTGCAAAGGAAGCAAGTTACCAAAATTCTATAAAAGAAATTATTAAGTCATTTTAAGTGATCTCTACAATGCAATAAAAAACATTTGGGGTAAAATTTCGTGTCATAGGCACAGTAGGCACTTTAAATAAAAAGTACAAAGATCCAATTAAAAAATACTTGAAGTAAATTAAAAAGTAAAAGTACTATGGTCTGTAGCGCGTAGGGGGGGGGGGGAGGCGACTTCTCCAAGTGGATTGACAAACAAAAGACACAAAACAGTACACGCATTATATGCGTGTATCTAATATACAATATATCACGGCATGGTCTACTTTTCCATTGAAGATATAAGAAATCCATTAAATAAATAATGCTTATAAGTAAGCCACAAACGATAGATCCCAGACGCATGTAGAGGTCCTATTAGTTGTCCCAAAATTAAAATAAATCAGAAATAAATCACGTAAAATTAAAACAAAAGTAACGAAATACTTCGCCACAAAATGAAAATAACGAAGTAAAATGGCTTCTCAAAACGACTTCGTTCCAAGTAAAAGTACTCCAGAAAAAGTACTCCAGAAATAGTGCCAGTAAAAGTACGTCAAAAATAGTGCTCAAGTACAGTAACGGAGTACATTTACTTCGTTATGATCTGGACAATAACACGAAACAAATGCCATCTTTGAGAAGTTTTAGACTGTATTCTTACTAATGGACTATTTTAATAATAGAAGATTTTTCCTAGTAAATTTTTATATATGTATATATTATATATCTTAACCTTGTTTTATATATCTTAACCTTGTTTTTAAATCACCATTCCATGTAAATTAGTGTTGAAAAGCCTCTTTGAGGAACACAATAAAGTATGTATATGTATGCATATATATGTGTTACTTGACACTACTGTCACCAACTCTCATCAACTCTCATAACCGTTTATAATTAAACCATGTTCAGTTCTACTTGTCTGCTTTTATATTAAACGTAACTTCTAGCTGTCCCTGGAATGGGGTCGGGATATTCTTGCCAACGAAATGAAGACTACAAAAATAACTGTCGTTTGTACAAACGAAGCCATCGTTCCTGCAGCACGCGCGTATCCACGTTTTTCTTCGTTCCTTGTCCCTTATCTCCGTCGAAAACTACTTCATTTACTAAACGTTCTAGAGATCTAGAATCACTGAAACAAGTTCCCGGCCATGCGCATCGTTTTACCATGTTCAAAAATACTTTGTTTGTCGTCTAAGCACAGTGTCAGAGTCGCTCGATAAATGAAAAATATATAATTAAAAGGCTTTATTATAAGATTGCACTCGGACATGTTTTCGAACATCTTTGAGCCTGAACTAGGCTACTGTACGCGGACATGTCTGCAGATCAATTCAACCTTTTAAACATTATGCCATATCGCTTTTCCAACTTTTAATATCATTTAAATAACGCGATAAGGCCAAGTCTAAACGCCGCATTTTATATGCGTCGAATCAAATACATATTCGAGTCGACTTGAATACTTGATTACTTGAATTCAAATTTTAATTCAGACGTCGAATTTAATTGTCGAATTTAATTAATTTGCAAAGCCCGCCAAATCCGAATTGACAATAGGCGGATGAAGTTGACTAAGTAAAATTATGCGCCTATATCAAACATCATTCGTACCAACAGAAAACGACGACTTTCAATGCATATGGCAGTAAATAAGCTTGGCAATTAGGAGGAGGCAGAAGACGGGTGTTCCTAACACTGCAATCGGCCAACGATAAAATTAATAAATTTAATTTTTGAATAATGGCTCCGTGTGCTCAGAATACGATTTGAAAGCGATTAGACGCACAATCTTCTTTTGGACACTCATCAATTTTTGCAATTTTGAAGGGTACGTGTTACCCCAAGCTAAATTAGCGTAATATAAGGATAGACAAGGGCATAGTAAAGCAATTTTAATGTGTTTTGATTCGTACAATGCCGAATTTTAGAAATAATTCCGGTTGATTAAAATATTTTTTAAAACTGAACAAATTGATTATTCCATGTGTGTGTTTCATCGATTAGAACACCCAGGAATTTTTTACATTCAAAACTACATTTCACTTGTCGGATCGACTGGTCATTTATTTTAATATCAATTTCAGTTAATTAGTTGTTTTTTATTGCGTGCTGTGAAATTAAGGATCAATTTTGTTTTAGCTGTATTTATAGAGAGTTTATTTGTGTTTAACCATTTCAGTATTTCATTCATCTCTTTTTGCATTGTTTCGTTTGCTATATTAATGCTGGAATTAGATATAGAATGCGTTTGTATCATCTGCAAACAGGACAAATGAAACAACATCACTGCAGTTTTGTATGTCATTTATGTATAATAAAAAAACAGTGGTCCAAGAACAGATCCTTGGGGAACATCAGTTGTAATTTTCATTTCTTTAGAATTTTCCTGTTTGAATTTCACAATCTGCTTTCTATTCATTAAATAGTTTTTGAACCACGTTAAAGCAAGCCCTCGTACTCCATAAAGCTCCATCTTTTTTATAAAATATCATGATCGACGGTATCCAAAGCTTTTGATATGAGGTCAAGAAAAATTCGGTAAATTCCTATCGTATACTTACCTTCATCGATTGCTTTAGTAATTTTGCTAACAAGATTTACAATTGCTATTTCTGTTGATTTATTACGCCTGAAACCATATTGGTTTTCTGTTAATATTTTGTTTTTTTCTCAATAAAACTAATTAGTCTTTTGTACATAAGTACTCTAATACACGTTTTTAAAACGATTCGGTGTTTTAATTTCCATTCTTCGTTCTTTTTGCGTCCATTTGTGTGTTGTCCACTCAATGGACTGTGGCCACTGCCAGTTCTATGTATATTAATATAAAGTTTTGGTTTCTTAGTGTGATAAATCTGTGTATATATAATGTGATAAATGCGCCTTAGCAGTAAACAGGCTTGATATGAAATCTGATAGCAAAAACTTGTGTTATATAAGAATTAATTTACCTGTACGTCAATGAGCCATGCAGGGATGCCGGAAGTTGCTGGGGGCAAGGGGTGCAATTGGTTAACAAGAGGGCATATTCCTTAACAAAACGGCACTAATGAAAATGAAAGGGCATCTAAAAATTATTTTTGGCGACCTTCCCCCCCATCGCCAAAAATTTTTTGGTCAGTGTACCATTTTAGGGGTAAAAAAAATTTTCCGGACATACCACAATTTTTCCTAAATACGAAAAAAATTTTCCGGACATACCGAAAAATTTTCCGGAAAATGTTATTTTTTTCGGAAATTAAAACATTTTTCCGGAAATAACATAGATTGAATTTTTCAAAAATGTCCTTTGCGCAAAAAATGCAATTTTTAATGAAAATTTTTCACGCAAAAAGGGCACTTTGTGCACCCGTTGCACCCGTATTCTGCACCCGTAGTGCACCCGTAAAGTTGTGAAGACAAAAGGCAACGGGTGCAACTGCACCCGCTGCACCCGTGGTTCCGGCATCCCTGGAGCCATGTTTAATATCTATCACCTGTGATTGCCCTTTATCTTACTGGCTTAAGGCATTAACTGTGCTTGATATAATTTGTGCTATTTACTGTAGTTCTATTTGCTTTTAACTCCCGCAGCAATCCCTACCATGCAGTCCCACATTGCAGAACAAAAATAGAAAAATCAGCAACGGCGCATCAGCCAATCAGCATTAGGCCAAAAACAATTTTAAATCTGCAGTTGATTTAACAAGCTTAGTTTCATTAGATTTCTATCTTTGTTCTGCAATCTGATTGGTTAGTGTTCTCTAAGTGACTCCACTTACGGTACTGATTGACACTGTAATATCACGGTCTGATATCGATTCATATATCAGTCATATGCTCATAGAATTTATCGTGCCTGTCTCATTTCAAAATGACTGCGAAAATTTTGATGCAAATATTTGGTCTATTCGTGCTGTTTATCGTATCAATAAGAGCAGAACAATGTTTGCCCGGTCCATTCCGCAAGAACACGTCGTCCCCAGCGACAGACTACGCCGAATGCAACGCTTGGAGAAGTGATACATGTTGTACTGCCACCTTTACCGAAATACTAAACAAAACACAAACCAGAGAGCCACATGCCAGGGGCCATTGTAAAAACATTTCCAAGGTAGAGTGCATCTTTACTGTTTACTTCGATGTTATATACAGTCGGTGACTTGCACACGGGTCACCATAACCCCATTTATATGAGCGATTATTTATAAGGCCTGATGCCACGACGGCGAAATTCTTGGCGCGATAATAATTGACAAATCGTGCCTGCGAAATATGGATGGCTGCACATGAGTGACTCATTGAATTTGCACACTTTCTTCGCTTTTGCGAGAAAAAATTGCGCGCAATTTTTTTTCGCGAAGCCTAATTTGTCTTTTAAACCAGAAAGAAAAACAGTTTATTTTAGAGACACAAGGGACCATCGGAAGTTTGCTATGGTATTGATGACTGTGAAGACGTGAATGAATCAGTTATACTATTAAATCATATTATTACACTGGCCTGTAGGCCAAGTGTCTTAAATCCCTCTTTTTCTGTTTTTTTCGTAGTCGAGAAATCGAGTTTGCGTTAGCGCATCGCAGGCTCAAGGTGCAACGATCAAGCCAAAATGCCATCGATTCCCTCCGTTCCATGATTCAAATACAATAGCAACAAATTACGTATTTATGTACGTACTAGCTGACCCATGCCATGCTTGTGGTACATTTTTCGTTTATTAGCCTATACACTTGTACGCACGCGCACAATTCCGAACTGCAATGGCGGATTTTCACAGAGTGATCAAACTATATTTTACACAGTTGCGTTGAATTTTCAAAGAATTGTGCCGGTTTCCTATGTATTTTACGTTGTGTCGTACTCTGGACTTTCTTGCGTGTTGAATTAATGTGTTTTTCTTTGTGTAAAAGAAAAGCTTTGTGGTAGCTATACTGAAAGATAAAGCGTGCGTTCAAAATACCAACAAGAACTAGAACCATTATTGTATAATTTGTATGGTTCTCATTTGCTAGACTTGCCACAAGTCAACCTCGAAGAAACGCATTTCGTTCGAGGTCGACTTGTGGCAAGTCTACTCATTTACAGTAACATTAGTTCGACGCGAATTTTAATACAAGTATGGTATCATATTTCATAATACAACAATGTAAACTAGCCATACATTTTGCCGAACATAACTTCGGCCCCTTTGGACATATCTTTTTCGTGATAATGTTATTGGAACCAGAATCGAAAACATTATTTATAGTGTTATTTTCAAGCTTGTGTCTTGAGATTCTCATCTTTTATTTCGGTATTTACAGAATATTTATATTTTTAGCGCGGCCCATGGAACGCACATGAAAACAACGCGCTGTTAGGAAAAACCGGAAATCGATTCTGTAGGTCGGCATGATTTGCACGTGCATCGAATTTGCTTGCGGTTTAAGATTTGTATTCCTGCCTTTTGCACCATAGCACGTATCTCGTTATTTTCAGGCCAGTGTGAACGCCTGAGCAGGCGTCTTGTTATATATCAATAGTCAAAGTCGCATTTTTCTAGTGTTTTAATTATTGGTTGAGAGCGTATCACGTGAGAGTGACGAAATTAGACTGTCTCCCTCGCAACAGCGCGAGATAATACGTTATCGACCGGCGAATAACAAAAAAAATCACGTGCGCCATCACGTGAAGATGCGATCTTTGGACATGCCTATAGTACGTAATTAAAACTTTCGCTTTAAATAACTACAGTGTAGCCAGTGTTTAATATAACGTTTTAACAATAAAATATTTCATGTATTTACGTTCATTTGTTCTTTAATTTGTTGTTTCTTTGACTATTGATATATAATAAAACACTTATTTACTGAGACCTCGGGAAAGCAGTGTGTTTTGTGGACCCTCGAGTCGACCGTCGATGTTTCCCTCGGCGCTCTCGGTCTCAGTAAATAAGTGATACAATTATCACTTCTGCATTCAACAACTGTTTTCCATTGATTAAAGTAAAATTATCCACACGAGATCCCCCATACATAGACCCTTTGGTAAAACAGTTATGTAAAATACGCATACCATCAGCAAGGACAATATACCCAATCCGAAACGATCTAAAACCGCGATTTGTCAACTTCAACGTCTCGATATTCAATTTGATCCTAGCAACTAAAACCTACAACATCAATTTCACATTTCATGCAGCACTACCTCATTCCTTAAAAGTCGTCGTATCGTGGTATCATTGTATTGTATCATTGCATTCTACCATCTTGGATATGTGCATCCTTTGTCGGATATGGGTGACGTCACAACCGTTTATTCTGTGGTGCTAAAATTATTTTGTAAATTGCTATATTTCTAACACTGTCTATTTTAATTAAATTAAACCACAAGCTATGTAAAAGCATTTAAAATGATGTTAGTTTTGAGTTTTAAAATGTTGTGATGTCATTTAGAGACCATGTAAAATCCGTTCTGCGCATACGTTCTGCGCAGGCCTACATTACAATGGTCGGGGACCCGACCATTGGAATGTTGTTAATATTTATATAATAACCTCAAGAATTCATGCGATTTCATTGGTCGAGAGCCATGATCTATTAGAGGACAGACGCACGGAATTACGTCATTAGTTTTTAAAATGTCAAAAATATTTGAAAATTCCACTGATTTTATACAAATTGGATGAATTCATGCAGTTAAATCTATAAACATCAATAAATACCTTCGATAAATGTGTACAAGTCGCTCACAAAAGTTAGCATCTCGGCAAATCTCATCAATTCAGTCATTCAGCTGCGACTTCAAATTCAATCCGGTCTTCGAAAACCGAGGGGTCCGACACGGCTGAAATCACTAAAACTTCGTTGTGATTGAGCCCACAGTCTTATATACAGCGATAACTCACAGAAATCAGGAAATCGGGTTAGAAATCAGGTTAGAAATCCACCCGTTCCGCACGTTGTAACCAATAATGTATTGGCGTTGTAATGCCATTGTATGCAATAAAGTATTGGGTTGTAACTGAAGACAAAACCGCAAGCATTACACAAGAGTTTTAGTTATAAATGTAATTGGCTTAGCTTTGCGGACGGCGGTTTTGTAGTTCCCCGGAGGGGTAGCCGGCCGGGTAGGGGTTAGTGTTGTGGGGTTAGGGGTTGGGAGGTGGGGTTAGTGGTTGGGAGGTGGGGTTAGTGGTTGGGAGGTGGGGTTAGGGGTTGGGAGGTGGGGTTAGGGGTTGGGAGGTGGGGTTAGAGGTTAGGAGGTGGGGTTAGAGGTTAGGATTAGGGTTGGGATTAATTGTAAATCCATTGTAACCCAATACTTTATTGCATACAATGGAATTACAACGCCAATACATTATTGGTTACAACGTGCGGAACGGCTGAGAAATCACGTCAGAAATCAAGAAATGCATTATAAATCAACAGAAATCCGTTTAGAAATCAGATTAAAAATCAAGAAATCTCGTACGCTTCATGTGGCCGTGTCGGACCCCGAAAACAAACCGCCCCCGTGTCGGACCCCGATTCGAAAACAAATACTATTTGAGTCATCTGACCCTGTCGATGTCACATTTCCCAGATGGTTTATTCACTTTGTGCAACATAGGCAATGTTTAAGTGTTTTTCGATCACCATAGTCGCTCAGAACAAAATAATTGCCTTTTTATCACACGTTTTTATATCTTTAAAACAATGTTTTTTCACTTAGTTTTTCCTTATTTATTACCGTCTAGCGCATTCTAAGCTTAGCCAATCAGAATTCAGCACGTGACATAAGCGAGCCAATAGCGTTTTATTATTTGTATAGATCATGAACGCAATGATATTTGCAAAATTTCGACTTCCAAATGTTTGGGGGAATAGAAATAAACTGTTTAACTGTTTAATTTAACTGTTTTATTATATAAAACAAATAGATTACATTTTCCCGTTGTCTGTTCAGTTATAGATACACAGACAGTATGACGTCATATGTGGTAAGAACAAAAAGTGACCACTCGCCTAGGCGGCTCGTGCACTTTTTTGTTCTTACCACATATGACGTCATACTGTTGTATCTATAACTGAACAGACAACGGGAAAATGTAATCTATTTGTTAATTCGCACCTTCCGAACTTTCTTGAATTGAATCTCTAGTCCGTCCGTGTTAAAAATTCAGCATAATATATAACTAATCATATTTTACAACTGTAGCACTGACTTCAAAATGTAAACAAAGCGTTTGTTTACATTATATACGGACTTTACATGGCCTTTAATAAGATCTAATGATAAAACAAGATGGCGGATACCAGAATGTTTTCGTTCCTAATTAATACATGAAAAACTTTCTCCACCGATTCTAATTGGCTAAGAGCAGTGCAACCTTTTCGAAATACAATACCAAAAAGTGAAATACAGTGCAAAAAACGAAATACAGTGACAAAAAAATGAAATACAGTGCAAATAATATTTTGATGAGTTTGTCAAGATGGGCCACCAATTTCTTGGGGGAAATTTCATGTTTCCTTCTGGTCTCCCGTAGCAGTTACTTTATGACCGGTCTCTTATTCCTTCTCATGTAGAAATGTGAAAAATTTCTTGTGGAAGAGGAATGTTTCTATACATGTGAACCTCGCCTAATCCTGTGGAGTCACACCAAGTCATCTCTAAATGCTTCCGCAAAGGGGGTGCCAATCTGTGGTGATTATTGCGACGACTGGTACGAAGCTTGCAAAGACGATGAAACGTGTGTGAAAGACTGGCAAGTTGGTTCTGATTATTCGAACTTGTCGTTCACGTACACGTGCCCCAAGGACGTTGCATGTACTACTTTTAAACAGGTGAGGTCATGATTGCGGTTAGCCTGCGAACAGGCTCTCAAGCTGAATTGAGAGCCTGCATCGATGACTAATGAATTTGAATATCTGCCCCGTAACGTTCGTTTTTCCAAATATGGAATGTCTATCCTTATATGGTGTTGTTTACAACTTTCGTGCAAACTAAATTTAGACCGTGCAAACTAAATTTAGATCGTACAGTTTATACTGTTTTTCGAAATATAAGATATTCAAGCAAAAGTTCAAATGTTTTAAACACTGTTTTCTCAAAACAGAACATTTCGTGCTTTGAGATAAGACGGCCAAGACCAATTTGATCAGTTAATGTGTTTTTTTATGCATAGTGCTTCAGCAGTTGACATATATAGAGCTCAGCGGAAACATATAAATTATAGCATCTGACCAATGAGAATTTCGCGTCACGATTTGAGACGCAGATATTCAAATTCATTAGTCATCGATGCAGGCTCTCAATTCAGCTTGAGAGCCTGTTCGCAGGCTAGATTGCGGTTATCGTTCCATGTTTCGCCAAGGGTGGGTTGTAGCGAAGTAGTTGTAGTTCGCTACTGTAGCGAACTACAATTTTCAAGTAGCCAGTAGTTTTTGACTACTTTTTTAAAACAGTAGCTGTAGTTATAGCGAACTACATTTTGCCTAAAAGTAGCCAAGTAGTTGACTACTTTTCAAACAGCGAATCGCTATTCACTACTTTCTAAAATTGTTAGCAACTTGATAGAATAGAATGATATTGAGACACGGTTTGCTTAAAATCAATACTCAATAGTCAATTTGCACTCTTGAACATCTACTAACTCAGGCTGAAATGTTGCTTTGTGTTTACTGTTGCTATTCATAAGTCGCCGGATTTGTTATATGTTACATTTCAGCCTGAGTTAGTAGATGCTCCAGATACAGTAGCCTGTGCACATCCTGTAGTACAGGGTAATACAGGATGTGCACAGGCTACAGATACAGTAACACTAAAAATATAGCGTAGCGAAATAGCGAAATAGTTCGCTACATTTTTTAAGCTGTAGTCAGTAGCGAACTACCTTTGTTCAAAAGTAGCAGTAGTTGTAGCTGACTACATATTTTTGAAGTAGCTATAGTTATAGCGAACTACAAAAATTTTGTAGTCAACCCACCCTTGTGTTTCGCGCACCAATATAAGTTAGGGTTAGGTATTAGGGTTAGGTTTAAGGTTAGGGTGTGTATATACGTGTATGGAGGTATCCAGTTAACTTTTCAGTACACTATAATATCCATTCCATAACGTTTACTATATTGGTGCGCGAAACATGGAACGATTGTCAAGATTGCAGTCGAATCTGTTTCATTGAACTATAAGTAAACTGGAATGCTAATGGGGGGGGGTTGAAGTCAGTGCATTTCAGTTTTTCTGAGTTATGAGCAGAAATACTCAACACTAAACGTTGTGCTGTATATGAAACTGAAGCTATTGAAAAACGCTATTTGGTGTAGAAATTTCAAGACTTTAGCTAAAAGGGAAATATTTAAAAACTACAAAAATAATTGCCTATAATTTGCCATTTTTTGGCCGAATGGCAGCTGTTTTTGTATTTTTAAAATAGTTTTCTTTTCGCCGAAGTCTTGAAATTTCCACACCGAATATTATAGCAGTTTTCAATAGCTTCAGTTTGATATATAGCCCAACGTTTGGGATCAAGTATTTCTGCTCATAATTCAAAAAAACTATTTTGGCTTCAACAAAACATGGGCCTTCATCATAGCACATTAGCAGTTTGCCTTCCAGTTTACTTAAAGTTCAATGGTCTGTTCTGCCCAGGCACAAAACTAAGGGCCTGTTTATATGGAAGCGAGTTACCCGGCAAAGCGAGTTACTCGCCTAGGCGGGACAAACAAGCGCGCTCTGTTTATATGGAACCGAGTTATTCGCCGAAATGGCGCCAAAACACAAAAAGGATTTTAAATCGTTTGGAGCGTTAAAAAAACATTACAAAATGTGTCGTCAAAATACAAGAATAAGCGCAGAGAAATTCAGGAAAACTTATCTATCGATTCGTATGTATTTTTTAGCTATTATATTTCAAATGCAAATTAAGCACATATATTCTATCTCTGGTAATATATTCATCCCGCCTAAGCGATATCCCGCCTCTTTCTGCCGGGAACTCGCCAAGGCGAGTTACTCGGCTGCATCATGTAAACAGCCACCCTGGATTGCTATAAGTTTCTATAATAGCCGGGATCTCGCCTTTGCCGAGTAATTCGCCTTGTCGGGTAACTCGATCCCCTCCATAAAAACAGACCCTAAAGGAGCAAAATTGGAACACAGTGGCAAACGTCCGCGCGTATTTACTATTTACTGCTTCTATTCAAAACGATAAGACTGGAAATAGTATTGTCTTCACGAAGAGCTCTAGCGAAACGTTTAAAGAAAATTACGAGTGTTAAACTCAGTATAACTTCGTCTTGACACAAGGGAACAGCGCTGAAATTCCCTTCCTTATAGTTTCAGCCGTTTCCTTATAGTAACCGACGCTTTTCCCGTATTTATTTCCGTTATTTTGGCAGACATTTTCCCCGCCATTTCTGAAACTGGGAATGACACGGAGTTGGTAAAACCCTTAACCATTATAAAGATAGGATTAAATAATTTTCGACAAGGTCGTTTTCCTGATATTGCGATTTAGTGATTTACTTATATTACACGCGTAAAACTCGATCTCACATGTTGTATAGCAAGTCTGCCAACAAGCCGTCAACAAGTTGTGTTCGCACCGCTTGTTCCAAGTTGTCAACAAGTTTGGAACAAGCTGTTTGGAACAACTTGTAACAACCTTGTTGATATTATCAGACTTGTTGCAAGGTTGTTCCAACGGGTCTGATACAGTCATGATATAACAATATTGTTACGCCCTTGTGTCGTCAAACTTGTAACATTCTTGTTATATTATGACTGTATCAGACCTGTTAGAACGACCTTGTAACAAGTCTGATAATGCCATCAAGCTTGTTAAAAGTTGTTAACAGCTTGTTCCAAACATGTTACAACATCTAGCTGAACTAGGAACAAGCAGTGCGAACACAACTTGTCGACAGCTTGTGAACAGATTTGTAACAATTTGAAAATAGTAAATAAATTTAAAAAATTATTTTCTCCATTTCAGATGTATGGCAGTGGCAAGGAGCTGTGCAACACATGGGGACAATCGTTTCTCTATGTTGACCCAAAATGCCCATGTAGCAGAATGGATAGACCAATACCTGGCAACGTTGACGAGACATCTACATGTTCTGCAAGTTCAAAGATGACTTTGTTTTCCGCTTTTTCCTTACTTATTTTGATCGGCATAAACCATGCACAGATTTCTAGATCCTAAGCTTTTACTTTTGCCTGAAATGCTGAGAATTTACTTGTTCTCATTGTTGTTAAGAAGTGTAGTTAATTTCCATATGGTCGTAAAGAATGAGTCACGATCTTTCTCATACAACAGTTTAATACTGATAATAGCCGAAGTACAACAGTTTAACACTGATAACCGGCAGTGAATATTGAACTATAGAGAATACTTATGATTTAATAATAATAATAAATATTAAATAATGCTTTATTCACAGTATATCTATACAAGGTAGTTCTTCATCTGTGAAGGTTACAATAAATACTTATCAGTTATAGACCTGAAACGAGGGGTATTCCACAAAAAATTACCCTGAGGGATGAAATATTCCGAGGGCGGTAGTTCTTCATCTGTGAAGGTTACAATAAATACTTATCAGTTATAGACCTGAAACGAGGGGTATTCCCCACAAAAAATTACCCTGAGGGATGAAATATTCCGAGGGCGAAAAATTACCCTGAGGGATGAAATATTCCGAGGGCGAAGCCCGAGGAATATTTCATCCCGCAGGCCCGAGGAATATTTCATCCCGCAGGGTAATTTTTTGTGGAATACCCCGAGTGAAAGGTCTATAAATGGTATATTATACCGAACCTTTCAAAAATAAGTAGAAAACAAATACCATTCAATTAACTCCTAATTTCAAAACACAACTTTTGATAACTTTACATTTAAAAAAGTCGAATTTCCCGCTCAAGCGTGGTATTCGAAGTCGAATACCATGGCCCCGGGTAAAACACCCAGGGTTCAAATTGCCTAGGTCATAGTATTCGCTGAAAAATACCATGGTCATGTGGTACAAATTTAGTTCTCTGATTGGACAAGCTCATTGTGAGGTATAATATTATTAGTAATATACAGTATATGAAATAGAAATTTGTAAAAAGCATTAAACAACGATAATTATACACATGCAATTATGTAGTTAAGTGTTTTAAGATATTTACAAACATTAAACTAGGATAATTAAGCACTTGCAATTAGTAGGTAAAAACGATTATAATCTGGCCGTTGAGAAAGATCGCGACTGTATTTTTTACGACCGTTGCGACCATATGTGAACAAGGCTTCAAGCCCGGGTCAAGCGAGGATGTGGCTGGTAGTCACGTGGCCTTAGTTAGCTGTTCTTAATGCTTTCCCAACACTATCATGTATTCTATTTTAGTTGAACACCATTGTTTTGTTAATCTAGAGTTTGAAATGTCCCCCGTAACAATTCGCGACTCTTTCATCATTGTTTGACCGTTTTGTTGTACTTTTCAGTTGTACTTTTCTGCTTTTGTATTTAAAGAAAAATGGAAATTTTTTTAAGGTACTAAAACTACTATAGTTTATAAGAAGTTAAGGTCCTAAAACTACTGCAGTTCATTTTATAAAATATTTCGTTTACCTAAGCGAAAAAAAGAAAAAAATTGATATCATTTTGAAATAATCTCCTTAGCAACGAGTTTTCAAGCCAAATTTGCATGAAATACTGCCACAAAACGAGTTCTATTTCAGTTCTCCTTTTGGTGTATGTTATTTAGGACTTCCATCTAGCTGTATTGATTGGTCTATTTGGGAGGGGTGGTCGCATAGCTATGGAAAGTAATTTTGTGAGCGGTCTAAAAATATTTACAACAGCGTGTCAATTCTCTTCAATAATCTTCGTTATTTTACATTTTATTGATTCGAAAAGTAGCATTTTCTGGTTGATTAGTACTATCAATCTCTTAGTGTTATTATATCAATGGGAAATATTAGTAATAGAAAAAGAAAAAGGGCCAGAAAGCCACCCTCAAAAGCAGCGAAAAAATTTAAAGATGGTGGTCCCAATGATGAAATCTCTGCCTCTGGACCTTCTGGAGCTAAAATAGGTGACCAAAGTGCAAATTTTGGAGCTTCCACTGAGAAAATTAACACAGAGAAGACCGCAGGTACAATATTTATGGACTTGTCTGTTCTATTTGATGTTTTCGATGACATTTTAAAATGCCGTGAATGTGGTGGCAACATGAGTTCCCTGTTCCCATGTTGACATGAAGAAAAAGAATGGCTTTTCCAATTATGTTGTTTTGGAATGTCAAAATTTGGAGTGCGAGTGGAAGTACTGTTTCGATACATCGAAGAAACAAGGGCATTCCTTTGAAATTAATGTTAGAGCAGTACTGGCTTTCAGAGAAATTGGTAGAGGCCACGCTGCCATGACAAAATTCACAAAAATTTTGAATATGCCTTCACCGCCAACTCGCCGCAACTTTACCAAGATTCAAAATGAGAAGCTTTTACCAATTGTCAAACAATTGGCAAATGACAGCATGAACACTAGTGCAATGGAGGTCAAAGAGAGGAGTGGAAGTGACGAAGGAGAATGTTGTATATCTCTGGATGGCAGTTGGCAGAAGAGAGGTCACTCATCGCACAATGGCGTAGTGACCGCTATATCGTTGGAAACCAAGAAATTTGTTGATGTTGAAGTAATGTCTGACAAGTGTCAACAATGTCAAAAATGGAAAAAAAAGGTGAATGAGCCAGGATATGAAGAGTGGAAGGCAAATCATCACTGCAAGATCAACCACACAGGTAGCGCAAACAGCATGGAAACGGTTGGTGCTGTTAGGATTTTTGAACGGTCCTATGTTGAACGGGGACTTAAATACAAGGACATGCTAGGGGATGGTGATTCTGCCACATACGGCAGTATTGTTGATAGCAAGCCTTATGGGGATGAGTGTGTGCCAAAGAAATTGGAGTGCATCGGACATGTCCAAAAGCGAGTCGGTAGCAGGTTACGGAAGTTGAAGAGTACCTATAAAGGCGGTAAAGGAAGGCTAACAGATGGTAAAATAGATGTTTTACAGAACTATTATGGTCTGGCAGTTAGAGAGAATTTGGATGTTGCCAAAATGGCCAAAGCCATCAAGGCAACTCTTTACCATGTTGCATCATCTGATGAGAAACCACAACATCATCTCTGCCCTGATGGAGAGGACAGTTGGTGTGGGTACAAGAGAGATCAAGAGTCCTACAAACACAATAATGGCATTCCAGGGTGCATTGTAAAATTAATTGAACCAATATTTGCTGACCTAAGTAAGCCTGACCTGTTGCGAAAGTGTACGCATGGCTTGACGCAGAATGTTAATGAGTGCTTGAATGGTATGATTTGGGACAGATGCCCCAAAACAACCTATGTGGAGCAAGAAACTGTAGCCCTGGCTACTTATTTGGCTGTCCTCAAATTCAACGATGGAGATATATCCTTCCTGAAAATATTTGAGGCTTTGGACATTACTCCGGGTGTCTTTACTTGTAAAGGCGCCCAAGATTGTGACACCACCTGAATCAAACTGTCGGCCAAAAAGTGCAAAGATAATGTCAAGATCAGAAGAAAAACATTGAGACACCTCAGAAAGAGCTATATAGACTCAACTGAGGCAAATGAAGGCATAACATATGAAGCAGGTAGCTTCTGAACCTTTTTAAGACAAACCAACATGAAAGGAAACTTTAACATTACATTTTCCTTATTCGGTGATTTTCTAATCACGAGTAATCTTTGTGACATCATAACGTTTTTAATATTTGAGGTAGAAGGTTAATACTTGGGTTACTTATTGTATATACCTTCAGCTAGTGCCCGACACTCTCCAAATGTCAAGATTTTTTATTATTAGTCATAGTGATTTCTGGCATATTTTCCTACTTATTAGCAATTAAAAATATTGGCTAAAATTTACATTTTATCACAGAATATTTTTGATGTTATTTTAATATTTAAATGATGTTACATCAAAATAAAGAGTGTCAGGCACTAGCTCATGTTGTAAGCTGTCTAGGAATATATCACTTGTGGCATTACAGTGGTTTTTGCCCAAGTTATGATGTTCAGCGTGCAGTGGTATTTTCACTAATTTGACATCGGCCATATTGACTAATTAGCCTAATTACCAATCAGTTTCCTTTACCATGCCCCTTCAAAAAAATGGTAATATTTATTGGGAAAGGGGTAGCCCACCTTAAGGTCCAGACACACCGGACGCGACGCGATTTTTTAGTTTTTGAAAGTTAATAAAATAGCCAATGAGAGCAAATTTTTAAAGATATGTAGACCAAATAACTGAAACGCTAGACCAAATAACTTACGCTTCTAAATATTTGGAAAATTTAAACTTGGATCAAAGTTATCTTGGAAAAATCGCGTTCGGTGTGTATGGACCTTTATCCTCATACTTGTTACTTCGTGCAGGGTTAGAATAAGAAGGGTTTCTGGGGCTGGGTTGTTCCTCCAGGAAGATAAGAAATGAGCAAAAGTTTAAACTGAATACGTAATTAGCATAAATAGCCCATTGTAAAATTATATGCGGACAATGCTATTGTTATCAAATGTTCAATGGTTACAGAAGAGGGCTGTTCCATAATTCCAATAATCGCTAGCCTGCGAACAGGCTCTCAAGCTGAATTGAGAGCCTGCATCGATGACTAATGAATTTGAATATCTGCCCGTAACGTTCGTTTTTCCAAATATGGAATGTCTATCCTTATATGGTGTTGTTTACAACTTTCGTGCAAACTAAATTTAGACCATGCAAACTAAATTTAGACCGTACAGTTATACTGTTTTTCGAAATATAACATATTGAAGCAAAAGTTTAAACTGTTTTAAATACTGTTTTCTCAAAACACGGAACATTTCGTGCTTTGAGATAAGATGGCCAAGACCAATTTGATCAGTTAATGTGTTTTTTATGCATATTGCTTATAGCAGTTGACATATATAGAGCTCAGCGGAATAATATAAATTATAGCATCTGACCAATGAGAATTTCGCGTCACGATTTGAGACGCAGATATTCAAATTCATTAGTCATCGATGCAGGCTCTCAATTCAGCTTGAGAGCCTGTTCGCAGGCTAAATAATCGCAGGCAAGGGTTATGGTGAGATTTGATAAACTGAAGCTTGGGTTCACACTATAGCGATCTTCTTTCTGACGAAACTATACATTTCTAAGTCTTTTGCATGTCATGCGTTAAATCACATCCCCCAGGAGGAGAAAAACCGCCGCCAGAATTGCTGGTATGAACAAGGCTTTAGGGAGCGGTTATTAAGTATGGGTCATGGAGGGGCTTGAAACAAAAGGGTCTTGAAGCAAAAATACATACATTCTGATCCCCAGAGCCATTTTCACTCGGGCTCTCGTTGAAAATTAGGCTCTGGGTTAGACGACTAAAGGGAGAGATTTGATGATTGGCTTCTCAGAGAACTGCTATTTCCCAGATTTGAGCAGTTTTCGCTAGGCAAAATTATTCTACCATATTTCCCAGAAGTTGGGCAGTTTTCGCTAGGCAAAATTATTCTACCATATTTCCCAAAAGTTTAGCAGTTTTCGCTAGGCAAAATTATTCTAACCACATTTCCCAGAAGTTTAGCAGTTTTCGCTAGGCAAAATTATTCTACCATATTTCCCAGAAGTTGAGCAGTTTTCGCTAGGCAAAATTATTCTACCGTATTTCCCAGAAGTTGAGCAGTTTTCGCTAGGCAAAATTATTCAATCAAATTTCAAATTATGTCATGCAACACAAACACTTCGCTTCTTTGTAATACTTCACTGTGAGATTGTTACGGTGCTAATTAAAAAGCGTCCCAATTCACGAGCATGCGCTTTAGAAACTACTGCAAATTTTCTTGCACTTACATTTCCGTGTATCCCAGGGCCTGAAGGTAGCGCGCGGCTGAGAGTCCCTGGGAACGAGGATGCATATAGATGTGAATGGATATGGAAAGTTGCTTTGCTTTGCCATCCAAAATAGGCACGGACGGTTTATTGGTATAAAGTCGTTAGATATGTCTGTACTTATTTCGACTGGTACAATCAATCTGATACCGTTTACATCAATGTCACGACAAATGTATTTACAGTTTTATTAAAAATATTCTTGTGGTAAGATTTACAGAAAAGCGTTCGACCCGGACTCGACACATCCCAGACTTTTCTTTTCGAGGCTTTTCCGCGATCAAATCCTAATATTTTTGCGTAAAAACAGTAGACTGCTTTCATTGAATAGCTTTCAATGGAAAATTATTAGCGGCATGTTGCTGGATTTCAGTAGTGTGGACCCTCCTTAAAGAAAACAAATTCAACTACATTTCTCTCTCCCTTTTACAGTATTTTTTTGTATTTACAAGCCTACTAAATATACAGTGGCGTTCCTTAGCCATTTCAAAAATGGAGGTGTAGGACTGTATGTGGCAGGAAGGGGGTGTTGACACTCCATTTTTAACTCCACTTATCCCCTCCCTTCGAGTTCTAACAAAGTCAAAAAGTTCAAAGTTGAATTTTCAATTTCTATAACAGGTACAATGTGATTCAAAATCTATAATGTAAAATACTATTTGTAAAAACAACTGAAAACAGCAGCATTAGTGCTGGATAAAGACTCTGTATAAAAATTTTACCAACGACCTCTCCCTTATTTAACCGAGCATCGTGTCATTTTCCAATCCTACAGTCAATCTTAGCCAAAAGTGGGGTTGTACAACCGCCCCCCTCCGCTAAGGTACGCCCCTGTACATATATAATGAAAAGAACTTGATGATTTTCTCGCTCTGAAAACCATCTGCTGACGGAAAGTAGTGAGTGTGAGAATCAAAACGGCAACGCTTATGAATATGCATGTGTAGACAAAAATTTCATCACAGCTTGAAAGAGCATCACAAAATTAGTAATATTCCAAAGTTTCGTTGCGAAATGTTGTAAAATGCGGATAATATAGCCTTGCAAGTTTGCCGTTTTTCAGTCATTTTGCATTACGCGGGGGAAATTGACAGCCTAATACCCTTTGTGGCTGTCAATTTCCCGTTTGTAATAGAAAATGACTGAAAAACGGCAAACTTCGCAAGGCTATATTCTCCACATTTTACAATATTTCGCAACGAAACTTTGGAATATTACTAATTTTGTGATGCTCTTTCAAGCTGTGATGAAATCTTTGTCTAGATTTGTTTAGATCAAAATTTAGTCTGTAATGAAAATGGTCCATTGTATTCCCTTGAGCATACTAGTACGCCATAGTTGTTCAAACTAGTACGTTATTTACTGTACATCATGTCTACGTCTCATAAAAAAGTTTTTACGTTCGAAGTAGCTGTTTTTCTGACTAGTAGTGCTTCAGAGTTGTTTAAAATAATAAGCACTTTTAAGAGGAAAGAGAGTTTAGTAATACATGCTTTCGATTGAATACAAGTTTGTCTTATACCGTTGCCGTTCTAAACTCTCAAATTCACCTGTGCTTACTGAAATCCAGCTTCGGAATGACCTGACTGAGCTCGACAAAAATGCCGGTTCGCAATTTTTAAATTGACAGCAATGAAAGCCACTTGTATGACGTTATGTAGAAGCACTGAGTACCAAAATACCAAGCGTTTTGCCTATTGTGACGATTTTGTTACAAGAATATGGACAGTTTATCTTGAAACCTTAGCCATAAGAACGAGTCCCATCTTCGAAAGAAAGTACTGTACGTAAACAAAAACCTGGATGTGTAAATGTTTTCATTTCTTCGCGAATGTTATCTTCATTGCATTTGTCGGCGTGATCTTGAACCCTTGTAGAGCATCCTTCGCCGTTCCCGCTTGGACTTCATTCTCAAATTCTACGAAAGCGATGTCAGACTTTCCAGGAACGAGTCGAACTTCTCGGAAACCAGGAAATCTAGAAGGTGGAAGAGAAAGAAACAAAGAAAACAAACACACACGTCATTTAAGTTTTTTAAAAATGTTGGAAAAAATATACATGAAAACTTGTATATCAAATATATCCAGGGTTTTCAGTTTAGGCCGGCGAACGGCGAATTTCGCGAGACTTTTTCATTCAACCCCACCCAAATTCGCCAGAGCTTTTACGTTTAGTCACGTCTCTATTATGTGTACTCGCCCAAATTTGTAAATTCTATCGGTAGAAATATTATCTATCGCCATGGCTTCATCGCCATTAGCTAAAGTCTCGCACAAAACTGAAAACCCTGTATCAATACGAAAATTTGTCGGGCTAATGGGCATTGCCCAAGAACAAATTGATTAAATTTGGCGGGAAATTGGTATAAGTTTGTCTTGCTCTGCCGGGTAGAATTGTAATTGTCCATTGCATAATTTATACATTATGCTCAGAGGTGTAACTTAATACTTGCCCGCTTTATTCCCGGGGCAAGTGAATATCATGGCGGGCAAGTAAACGTTTATCTTGCTTGCCCGATTGTGAAAGTTGCCTTGCCACAAAAAGCTGGGCATCTTTAAGTTTATGTTTTAATTCATTGTCGGATGATTTTTTTATAGTGCATGTACTTGATTCAAATTTTGTTTTTTGTGGACCAAAGCTACATCTGAGGCAGTATAACATAGCCATATAGAGCAGCGCGAGAACGGGTCAACATGTTGTCCACTTAATTTATACTCTCTACCTAGGTACCCCAGTGGCCATTGTCTGCTGAGAAGTGAATTTTATTCAGGGCAACTAATTTTCATGTCCAACTTACCTGATGGCAAGTGGTCAAAACTGATACTTAATGCATGTATAATAAAGGTATCATAGAGGTATACGCAGTCTTCAAATGCCATCTAATTAATTAGAAATCAATCTACGCTGTCAAAAGAGTGCTTTTTCATTTGTTTGCCGGGTTGCCTTTCAAATTTCGAATTTTCGCGCAATTAGATATTTCGTGCGTTCTTGGAGCTGGAGTGGAAAAATATAGTTTCGGTATCCGGTTTTCGGTCTTTAGAGAATAATGTGATTTTTGCTGAATCGTGCACCGTAACTTAATAATACCGCCTCGCATCTCGCACTGGCAAAGCGGGATTATTTAAATAGCTCCTTATTCAGCAAATAGCGCATGCTGCCTTTGATCCCTAGGCGAGTGAGGCAGCACTTTCCTTGCGATAGTAACTTCTAGTAGTAACAAACTCTGCTAAACTAACAGTCATTGCATTTTGCACAAAACCCAAACCAATTAAGAAATGATAATTAGTTTTGTGTGACAGTCGTTTTTCAAACATCATTTTGGCAACAAAAGCAAGTGCGGAAAAATTTTGAAATTTAAACTAGCAATAAAAAGCAATGGAGTGAGATCGTACTGGTTGAACAACATAGCCAACATCATTTGGGTTGTCTCTGGGGGTAGTTGGGTTAAAAATAGGATCTTGTTGGGAAGAGCTGGGACATCAGGTTGTTGCATGGGAATCATATGAGGCATCATGTCTACAGAAAACAGTAAAAATGTTAGTGTCAAGATGATTCATATTTTTAACAAGCATTAGTTTTACATACAGTAGGTGATTATTGAAAATTCTCCACGCTGATTAGTTTCCGTTAAGGTGATTATTACGCGATAATCACCTAAGCGATTTTCAAAATGGCGGCCGAAGCCGTTTTGTCAATTAAATGACAAAGAAATGAGTACAGTATTTTTTATATTTTCCAAATAATCACCTACGAATTTATACTAAAACAATTATTCACCTCAGCAGAGCCTGAAATAATTTTAAAATTTGTCCGGAAAAGCTTCCGACCAAAACGAAATTTGACCGGAAACTTGCAAAATTGACCGGAATATTTTTTAGTTTAGTTTGACCAAGTCCACATGCCCCCCCCCCCCCAATGATCAAACTCTGTCAAGCATGCAGATGTGCACTGAGTAAATCACTCTACTTGCAATAATAAAACACACATGTTTAATTCTCAATTGCTTATTGGAATAGTTATTGTGAATAATAATTTAATCACGCCCGCCGACGCTGTTTTTATCTTGACCCGACAACCTGGAAGATATTAAAAACAATACGTTTCCTTAAAGGTGATCTACAGTCCGATCTGCGCATGTGCACAAATGAGCCCACTTTTTATGATACAAACAGTTTAACTATGTTTTGAGTTCTTGAAAAGCCTAATTGTTGTTTCTTGATCATTTATT